ATTTGAAAAAAAAAAAAAGTTTCTTTGTTTCTATTATAAAATTTTTCAAACAGGTATTTTTCCTCCTTCACTGATGTGCGTTGATGAGGCAGCACTGATGGGCACTGATAGGCGGCACTGATGGGCACTGATAGGCAGTACTAATGAGGTGGCACGGATAGGCGGCACTGATAGACAGCACTAATGAGGTGTCACGGATAGGCGGAACTAATATGCAGCACTGATAGGCGGCACTGATAGGTGACACTGATGATGGGTACTGATAGACGGCACTGACTGGCATCACTGCTGGGCACTGACTGGCGGCACTGATTGGCACAACCCCCTGGGCACTGACTGGTGGCACTGACTGGCAGCACTGCTGGGCTGCACTGGTGGGTGGCACAGGTGGGTGGCACTAGTGGGCGGGCACAGGTGGGTGGCACAGGTGGGTGGCACTGCTGGGCACAGGTGGGCGGAGCTAGTGGGCGCACTGCTGGGCACAGGTGGGCGGAACTTGCGGATGGCATTGCTGGGCACCGATCATCAGTGCCCTGATGATCGGTGCCGATCCCCGCTCTGACAACTGCCGGTTCTCGGCAGTACTTTCCTCACGATCTGACAGCGTGAGGAAAGTGCAGCCGAGAACCGGCACTTGCATTTCCCTGTGATCAGCGTGTCATTGGACACCGCTGATCACGTGGTAAAAGGCCGGTATGATTGGCCTTTTACCACATCACGTGATCAGCTGTGTCCGTGATCACAGCGTCACGATGCCGGGTGCGCACGGGGCGCATACCACAGCAATTCCACTCAGAACTGGCCGGCCGCAGTTTGTTTTAAAAACTCTTAATGGACACAAAAAAATTGATTTCACTCCTGGAAGGTTTCAGGCTTGACAAATTTGCTTTTGTGTCTAGGAGCCAGCTAAAAAGTTACGAGGGGTTTTTTTTTGGGGGATTCAGTGCCCCGGACAGTGATTCGATTTGCCACCGACAATAACGGCAAAACTGCACCAGTTTTGGGGAGTGTCACCTGAACCAGCATTTTGCAATCACAATGATTCAGCCGCAATTGCAAAAAGCCTAGGTGTGAATGGAGCTGCCCTAAATGGTTCCCACATATGCAATTCTGGATTTGTTTTAAAACTCTCCGATTCACTTGACAGGCTAGATATTTTGTGTTCTTATTGAGGTGGTTCACACAGATGCGATCCACCCGCATTGCGTTTTGAGTGGCACTAGAAAAGAGTCCTGCAAGTTTGTAGCGGTGCATTCCCGCAAGTGAAAGAGTAGAATGGCATGCAGAGATAAGTGTTGTTATGGACAGGAGTTTCCCCCACTGACGTCTACAGGGCGCGACTCCCCCACTGACGTCTACAGGGCGCGACTCCCCCACTGACGTCTACAGGGCGCGACTCCCCCACTGACGTCTACAGGGCGCGACGCCCCCACTGACGTCTACAGGGCGCGACGCCCCCACTGACGTCTACAGGGCGCGACGCCCCCCACTGACGTCTACAGGGCGACGCCCCCACTGACGTCTACAGGGCACGACTCCCCCACTGAAATCTATGGGAGGCAGTGTGTGAACCCAGGCGACAGATCGCAATTTCTAGTCGCCATGGTGACCTGTGATTTGTCGAGCCCTGTTCCAACTTAATGCAAGCCAGATGTAAAGCCATCCACACTTACTACAATAGTAGTAACAAGTAATATATTTCTTATATTCTTGATACACGTTACAATCTGACCATACAGTCTTTGTACAATTTTAGATATACCAAAACTACATAATATAGGAACCTCAACTAGCCAATCATTCTGTATTCAAACAGGCAGACCCTGCATAACTGTTGGTGGATCCAAAAGGAGATTGTACAGTCAAATTGTAACATATGTGAGGAGCTTTAGACTGGACAACTATATAATGCAAGGGACTACCCAACTGGATATTAAATTAATGGATGGATTAGGATAGCCCTGGCACTACACATTTGCTGGTAACTGTAAAGTAAATTGTAAAGCTATTCTACAGCCGGATTGTAACATGAGCAGCTTTACATTTCCTAAACAGCATTTTTAATCAGATTTGTTTGTTGGCTGCAGCTTGTGTTATGGCATCTCTGGTGGTACAATCAGAATTTGTCATCTTATACACTTATTGCTGAGTGTAGTTTAATGTTTTTCACAGTTGTGGATAGAGTTGGGAAAGGATGAGAACCTCTGAAAAGGTTTTTAGACTGGAGATTGGTCCTTGGTTCCGGTCATTTTACCAGACTAGAAGTGAGAAGAACTCTCCAACAGCAACACAAACAGAAATAAAATGCTCTCTTTAGGTAGGCAGGGAAAAGCTAGAAGCTCCACCACTGTGGCAGATTTCCCTCAATTCCTGACTAGTAAAACCATTGTCACCAGGACAAGAAGTAAGGCGTAATCTGCAGGGCAGACATTCAATGGGAACCTGGGGATAAGCAATAGGAGACATTGACAAGAAGACGTTATACGAGGTGGTATCAAAACGTTTTAAGACTAGTTTTGTAACAAGCCAACAGATGGCAGCACCAGGCTGCACGCACAGTCACAGGGAGCACTGACCTTCACGTCTGCTATTTTATCATTGACAGCTAATTAGAACAAAGAACAAAACTGGAAACTTTGAGCTGAATCTTCATCTTGGCATTTTCAGGGGTTGAGCTCATTGAAGGTCTTCCTGATCTCGTCATCTTCCAGTGAAGTTCTTCCACTCTTAAAGCCTGTGTCCCACTCAAAAAACCTTGAATGACTCATTGTAGCATTGCTGTAAACTTGCAGAATGTCAGATGTCTCTGTGGCAGATTTGCCCAGTTTTATGATAATTGCACATTCGCTCTTTGTTCTAACTTGCTGTCCATGATGAAATAGCAGATATCGTAATGCATGTGGTCAGAATACCACCAGTTGCACACCTCCCGATGTACACAGGGTGATGTCTTTTGGCATACTGACTTATGAAGGTTGGTGCTTCCTGTGACTGTGTGTTGTGCTGCCATCTGCTGGTGTTACAAAAATAGTCTTGAAACTTTTGATACAACCTCCTATGAGCCTGAAGCAAAACAGAGACTCCAAGGGGCCACTTGTATGCAGGGGCTCCAAGGGGCCACAGGTTGAACACCAGAGCCTTGGAAAGACAAGAAACACTTACTCCTGCTCTCAAATGGTGTGATGTCATATATATATAAATTTATAAAAAAAGACATGGACTCCACTAGACCTCTGAAGGTATGCTGGTATCTGGCACCAAGCCTTCAGTAGCAGATCCTATAAGTTGGGAGGTGGATGGATCAACTGTATTTTTCCAACACATCCCACAGATGCTTGGTAGGATTGGGATGTGGAGAATTTGGAGGTTAGTCAACACCTCAAACTTCTTGTTGTTTCCTCAAACCATTCCTGAACTATTTCTGAAGTGTGTCAGAATGCAATACTCTGCTGAAAGAGGCCTCTGCCATCGGGGAATACAGTTTCCATGAAGGTGTGTACTCTGTCAGTAACAATGTGTAGGTAGGTGGTGTACATGTCAAGTAACATCCATATGATGGTAGGAACCAAGGATTCCCAGCAGAACATTGCCCAATTCATCACACTGCCTCCACCCAGCTTGCCTTCTTCCTGTACTGCACCCTGCTGCCATCTGTTCCCCATGTAGTGACACACACACACACCAGGCCATCCACACAATGGAAAAAGAAACGCGATTCATCAGACCAGACCACCTTCTTCCATTGCTCCAGGGGACAATTCTGATGCTCAACTGCCCATTGTAGGTTCTTATGGCTGTGGACACGGGTCAGCATGGGTACCCTGACCGGTCTCTGTGGCTATACAGCCCCATACACAACAAACTGCAATTAACATTTTTTTCTGTTTTAAACATTAGCTTCAGGGACAACATGTTCACTTGCTGCCTAATATATCCCACTGACCTTCACATGCCACTGTAACGATAAAGTGTTATTCGCTTCACCTGTCAGTGGTCATAATGTTATGGCTGATCTCTTATATACACACACACAATATATATATATATATATATATATATATATATATATATATATACACACACACACACATACATACACATATACACACACACACACAGATATATATTTATTTCAGGTACTTATATAGCGCCGTCAATTTACGCCATATTTTACACATATATATTGTACATTCACATCAGTCCCTAACCCTCAAGGAGCGTACAATTGAAGGTCCCCTAACTCACATTCATACATACACATATATACCCGGAGGAAACCCACACAGACACAGGGAGAACATGGAAACTCCAGGCAGGTGGTGCTGTGGCTGGGATACGAACCAACGACCCTAGTACTGCCAGGCAGAAGTGCTAATTATTTAGCCACTGTGCTGCCCAGATATATATATATATATATATATATATTATATATACACACATAAATATATTTATCTATACACATACCCAGATCTATATACACACACATATATATCTCCTTTAGATTGTAAGCTCCATGAACAGGGCCCTCACATTCCTTCTGTACTGAAATGTATTGTAATTGTACTGTCTCCCTTATATTGTAACGCGCTGCGCAAACTGTTGGCGCTATATAAATCCTGTATAATAATAATAATAATAATAATAATATACACACACACCTGTCATAGATACTCACACACACTAAACACATATTTGTCATCTAACACACACACACATTATATATATACATACATCTATATATACATATATATACACACACACATTATATATATATATATATATACACACACACATACATTTATCTATACACGCACATCTGTCATATATATATATATATATATATATATACATACATACATACACACATATTTATCTATACACATAGACATGCACTGTGTCTGGAGCCTGGGGACAGGACTGTGTAGGAGCGGACATGGAGGAGGAGGCACCCACCCTATAAATCCCCCCAGGCCAGTACACCCGCCCCCCCCCAGTCTCACCCATGTGTTGAGTGTCCAGCTGTACGGCCGGCATCTCCTTGAGCGGAATGTGCCCAGAGCCGCCATCCCCGCACCACCTGAAGCAACACAGCACACACGACATACCGACTGACTACCACAGAGAGCACAGCTGGCCGGGATACACCTCACCACCGACACCCCCACCGCCACACAGAGCGCCGCTGCAGTGCCAACAGCGACACCTTCTGGACAGGAGGAGCACTGCAGCCTGAACAGAACTATAGCTGGCTCTTGTCACTGTCACTTATATTGGAACTCGTCCACACCATGTCAGTGGATCGGTGTTGATCTGTTCTGTATTGATTAGTGCAAGGCCTCAGGCACACTGTGCAGCTCAAAAACGTTTTATGAGCTACAGGAGCTTTTACAATCAAAATTACAGTTAAAAGCTGCCTTTTTGCATGCATATTAACATGCATTCATATGTCTTCCCGTGTCTGACGCTAATGCATTCTATTGGGCAGAGTTCTGGCCATTAAAATGCATTAATGCGCACTAATGGGTGTTAAAGTGGTAGTAAATTGTGACCTTTTAAAAAAAAAACCTGCAAGACAATGGCATAATGTGCTAGTATGCTTCGCATCGCATCGCTTACTAGCACATTGTGTGAAACTTACCTTAAAACAAAGCCCTCGTTGTCACCACTGACAGGGCTTCCATCTTCATCCACTCCTTCCAGGTTCACGGGCTCCGGCGGCTTGAATGGCCGAGCCACGATGACGTCACTCTCACACATGTATGCGGGAGTCACTTTTTACGGCACACAGCTCTGGAGTATGGGCGTGTTTTAGAATGGGCATGTTTTAGTCCCACGACACAGATCCAACGTCAATCACGATGAATGACGTCGCCGCTGAGCCGGAAAGAAAAAAGAAGAGCTCTGCTCCTGACAAAGGCATGCTTGGGAATGACTTCACCCCTGCCCGGCCAATGAAAGCAGCCGCCCAAAGATGTCAGCTGCTGGGGCCGGGTGGGTAGCTTAGGGATGCTGCATCACTGAAGGTTAGAGAAGTGTAGTTCCACTTTGGTTCTCACTTGGCCTCCTTCACATGGGTGTACTTAGGGGTAGGCCTGTGTTTGGGCCGCCCATGGATACACAGGTGTTTTTTGCATCCCCATGAAGGCAGTCCCATTCATGTCAATAGGAACACAGCCATTGCATGGATACAGCCACTGGTCCCAATATGACAACTGTGTGGCTGCACCCACACCTACATGGATGTTAAATTGGGAGCAGCCGCCATTGACATGAATGGAACTGCTTGGCGGCAGATACACAGGTACATGGAGGCAGTCCCATTCATGTCTATTGGGACACCGCTGCTTCCTAGTATGCCCATGTGAATGAGGCCTTATTTGTTTCATTTCATTATTATCATTGGCAGTAATTTTGTCTTATAGAGCAGCCCAGGGTGTCAAATATGCTCAGGGCTGTGGATAAGGAGGTACCACCAGTCCTCCTGTATGGGGCCCAGGCCAGCAGGGGGGCCCAGGCAGCTGGGTGAATCAAATGTGGGCAGGGAGGGTGATTGGCACGGTGGGGGTGCAATTTCTGAATAGAAGGGGAGGATAGCTGGCAGAACTGAGGGGGGGGGGGGGGGGGGGGGGGAGGTGGCACACATGGAGCCTGAGCAGCATTGGGAAATGTATGGTGCACAGGGAGGGTGATAAGGTGTGACGGGGCGATTACTGGAACCAATTCCCTGTATAGCTCTCTCTGAAGCTCTCCCTCCCTCTGGCTTTCAGCTGCTGCAGAGAGAGCCATATAGGGGATTGGTTCCAGTAATTGCCCCCCTGTCGCACCTTATCACCCTCCCTGTGCACCATATGTTTCCCCATGCTGCTCAAGCCCCCTGTGTGCCCCCAGCTATCTTCCCCTCCGTCCTGCCAGCAGGTGCAAGCACACAATGGGATCCTTCAGGATGGAGAGTGGTTGAAGGGTCCGGTAAATATGTCACATTTTACCAGCCCCTTTCTTTTCTGGATGAACACAATAAGTGCTCTGTACCGATCACTCACTGTGTTCATTCATAACCAAAGCATAGTAAACTGAGGTTTTTTTTTTGGGGAGGGGGGGGGGGGCCTGTCAGGTTGGCTGTATGGGGCCCCATGGTTTCTAACAGCAGCCCTGAATATGCTACATGCCCCACTTTCATTCCTTATTCTTTAATCTATAGCTTACTGTGTCATGAGCTGTAGGTATAATAACTATTAGAAGGGGTTCTCAGAGACCGGAAAGTTATTTGAAGGGTTCCTCGTGTTGCGCTTGCCACACACGTTACAATTTGAGGCCTGGCTCAAACCTGTGTGGGTGATTGCGGGAATTGCAGCGGCTCCCACACTTGAAACCACCTACATCCTAATCACGCTGCTCTGTAGAGACACGCCTGGCTGCCACTCGTTCTTAATAGCACCCCCACACATCTCATGTGATTTTCCTGGAGCCGCATTTGGAAAAAAGTGCATGCACCTTTTTTTTCTGTGGATAACACAGGCACAGCAGCCCATTCAAATGAATGGGCTGCCATGTCTGTGCAAACCGGCACAGATATGAACCAGGCCTTATTGTACAACCTCCTTTAGATCTACCAGCAAGTATGTAGCGCAATGGCCTGCCTGATTGGATTATTTAGGCAGTTCCTCATACTAGACTCACCATACAAGGTGCAACCTCTGTACAATTAACTATAGATTTACCAAATCTATGCAATATGAGGAGCTACCTAATCTATTCACTCAATATGTATCCAATCAGGACGACCCTTGCACTACATAATGGTAGATCTAAAGGAGATTGTACAACCAAATTATAACATGTCTGAAAAGATTTATATAGATTTGATAGATCTAAGGCCCTTCAGAATACAATCAGATTGTACAATATAATTTACATTTACCAAAACTATGTAATATGAGGACAAACCTATACAATCCAATCAATTACTATCTCATTTAACAGGGCTTTATATTACATAGCTGTTAGTAGGTCTAAAAGAGATTGTACAGTCAGATTGTATAGTGTATCACTGGAGTATGGCTGATTGCGCAGAAATTAGTATGAGCAGAATATAACATATATGATGAGATATAAGCCTAGTACACACAATGAGGAATGATTGTCTATATTTTTTTTTTTGCATGCTAGTCTTATATTGAAAACAAATAGGTTACTAAAGACATACAAATTTTTGTAAGGAAGAATACAACTTCCCATGACTATAAAATGTATTGTATTGTTATGGATTATTATCTCGTTTCCCGAGCATGTGCAGTCTTGGTCACTCGATTTTTGACTGAAGAATACTGTACTGATTAAATGACAATCATTTGTTCTGTAATTTACAAAAACATTTTTCATGCTTGTCCCTTCAGATAATTGTGCATGAGCTGTCGTGATCGGCTCTTGAAAGCTGTGTACTAACAATCAGATTATCATACGATCGCTCCAAAATCTGTATTGTCTGTTCGATTTTCACCACGTGTGTATGAGGCTTAAAGCTGTTGTAAAGGCTGGAGATTTTTTACCTTTATGAATTCTATGCATGAAGGTAAAAAGCCTTCCGTGTGCAGCAGCTCCCCCAGCCCCCTCAATACTTACCTGAACCCCATCACGATCCAGCGATGTGAATGAGAGCCTTGGCTGTCCCGGGTCTCTGCCTCCTCATTGGCTGAGACAGCAGGTTGGAGCCTTAGCCAATAAGGAGATGGGGTGGGGCCAAGCCACAGCTCCGTGTTTGAACAGATACACAGAGCAGCGGGTGCCCCCACAGCAAGCTGCTCCAGACAGACAGGAGGAGCCAGGAGAGCCTGCAGGGGACCCGAGAAGAGGAGGATCCAGACTGCTCTGGGCAAAACCTCTACACATAGTAGGTAAGTAGAGAAATTTTACCAAAAAGAAAATAATTAGCCTTTAGAATCTCATTAACCAGTTCCCAACTGTGCTATAGCCGAAGGACGGCTACAGTGTGGTTCTCTGGTTCTGGGATGACGACCAGCACCGAGGGTGATTGCTGTGTCCTGCAAACACAGCTGATCATGTCATATGGAAAACGGCGATCATGGCGGCCTTTTACCACATAATCAGTTGTGTCCATTGACACAGCAGATCACCGGATAAATACAGTTGCCAGTTATCGGCTGCACTTTCCTCATACTGTCACAGCTTGAGGAAAGTACTGCCGAGAACCGGCAATTGTCAGCAAAGGGACGGCACTGATGATCAGTTCCCATCAGTGCCGCCCACCTGTACCCATCAGTGCCACCCACCTGTGCCCTGCAGTGCCACCCATCAGTGCTGCCCATCAGTGACGCCCATCAGTGCCCAGCACAGCCGCCCATCAATGTTGCCCAACAGTGCCACCGATCAGTGCCCAGCAGTGCTGCCCATCAGTATCGCCTGTCAGTGCAGTATCATCAGTGCCAGCTCATCAGTGCCGCCTATCAGTGCCTCCTATCAGTGCCCATCAGTGCTACCTATCTGTGCCACCTCATCAGTGCCCATCAGTGCTGCCTATCAGTGCCCATCAGTGCTGCCTATCAGTGCCCATCAGTGCTGCCTATCAGTGCAGCCTCACCAACGCACTCAGTGAAGGAGAAAAATGACCTGTTTGGAAAATTTTATAACAGAAACAAAGAAAAACTTTTTTTCCAATTTTTTGCTCTTTTTTTGTTTATAGCACAAAAAAAAACCACACACAGCGGCAATTAAATACCACCAAAAGAAAGCTCTATTTGTATGAAATAAAATTATCAAAATTTCATATGGGTACAATGTTGCATGACTGCACAATTGTCATTCAAAGTGCGACAGCGCTGAAAGCTGAAAATTGGCCTGGGCAGAAAGGGGGTAGAAGTGCCCAATAGGCAAGTGGTTAAGAAGGGTTGGGAAAGGTTGCTCTAAACCAGCCTTTTTCAATCAGGGTGCCCAGGAAACCTGGGTGCCTTGAGGTTTCTTCAGGGGTGCCTTGGCAAAATGTCTAAAAATTACCCAAAACTTGCATACAAGCCAAAGGGTGGAACAAGTCTTTTAGTTACACAAAGCCAGAGGTTTTCATTGTACAACATTCTAGGTACCGATAACCAATTACATCATCAGTTGATAAGGAAGATGTCGGTTGCCTACACAGCATCCTAGTTTGACACTCCCATGCCCCTCTCCATCAGTACTGGGGTCACATTAGCTCAGTGATGGAAAAAATCTGAGGGAGAGGAGAAACGTTGGAATACTAGTCAGTACCATAAATAGGTTCATATGTAAGTGCAGCCCAACATAAACAAATCCCCACTACATATATGGTACATAAAACACGTTATGTATAAATAAAAAGTCCAAAGGAAATTCCTGTGAAATATCAAATGAAGTGCATATCTTACAAATGCACATATCAGGACCAGTGTGCAAAAGTGTATTTGCTTTGGAAGAATAATCACCTCCAATGTTGGGTGTCCTACATGTGTGGATGTTGTTGCGTTATATAAAACTATTAGAATAGTTTTTACATTATAGAATGGGGTGCCTCGGGACTGTCCATAATTTTAAAGGGTTCCTCAGGACTTTCCATAATTTTAAAGGGTGCCTCGAGACTGTCCATAATTTTAAAGGGTGCCTCGAGACTGTCCATAATTTTAAAGGGTGCCTTGGGACTGTCCATAATTTTAGAGGGTGCCTCGGGACTGTGTATAATTTTAAAGGGTGCCTCGGGACTGTCCATAATTTTGGAGGGTGCCTTGGGACTGTCTATAATTTTAAAGGGTGCCTCGGGACTGTCCATAATTTTAAAGGGTGCCTCAGGACTGTCCATAATTTTAAAAGGTACCTTGGGACTTTCCATATTTTTAAAGGGTGCCTTGGGACTGTCCATAATTTTAAAGGGTGCCTCTGGGCTGTCCATAATTTTAAAGGGTGCCTCGGGACTGTCCATCATTTTAAAAGGTACTTTGGGACTGTCCATAATTTTAGAGAGTGCCTTGGGACTGTCCATAATTTTAAAGGGTGCCTCAAGACTGTCCATAATTTTAAAGGGTGCCTCGGGACTGTCCATAATTTTAGAGGGTGCCTCGGGACTGTCCATAATTTTAAAGGGTGCCTCAAGACTGTCCATAATTTTAGAGGGTGCCTTGGGACTGTCCATAATTTTAAAGGGTGCCTCGGGACTGTCCATAAATTTAAAGGGTGCCTCGGGACTGTCCATAATTTTAAAGGGTGCCTCGGGACTGTCCATCGTTTTAAAAGGTACCTCGGGACTTTCCATAATTTCAAAGGTTGCCTCGGGACTGTCCATAATTTTAAAGGGTGCCTTGGGACTATCCATAATTTTAAAGGGTGGCTCGGGACTGTCCATAATTTTAGAGGGTGCCTCGGGACTGTCCATCATTTTAAAGGGTGCCTCGGGACTGTCCATAATTTTAGAATGGGGTGCCTCAAGACTGTCCATAATTTTAAAGGGTACCTCGGGACTGTCCATAATTTTAAAGGGTGTCTTGTCTGAAAAAAGGTTGAGAAACACTGCTCTAAGGACTCGTTCACGCCAACCCGCCCCACACTGTAAAACGCGGGGTGTGCGCTGTGTAGGGGAAGTGTGATGCGTTGTTTTAACACATCACACTCTTTATTTTTTATCTCATTTTAAAAAAATGTATTAAAGGATCGGTGAAATAACACTTCAACTCTATGCACTGTAGTGTGTTGCGCGGCGCTGCAGTGACATTCTGTGAAGTGTGGTGTTTAAAAATGCAAGCGTCATAATGTGAAGAAGACACAAAGGAAACAATTGTCATCTATGTGCCCTTGCGTAGGTCAATACAGATCAATGCAGCTCTGCTGACATGGTGCCAACGAGCCCTAAAGCATCTCCAGCGTACTCTAGCACTGCAAAGAAGACTACACTTCCCATGAGGCTCTGCTTTCATGTGGGTGGCGTGATGATGTCAGATCCCTGCAAGCACCTTTCAGATCCTGCTGTGGTCTGTCTGTAGTAAAAGCATGAATGGGGTGTGTAGGTTACAGCAGGCCATGGCTGCCTGAGCTTTCTAAAACTTCCCAGGGGCCAGAGCTCTTCTATATCCTCCCTGCAGAAAGACATGGATCATTAATATTCTGCAGCACAACACCATGATCACATCAATAAGGAGCTCTTTGTAGTAAATCCATGGACAGCACAACTTCCCTATGGAATAACGAACCATCAAATGAGGGAGTACAGGATCTGTGATAAACGTCAGCTTCCCAATGACTGCGGTGAGTTCTACTTAAAAATACGTCTTAATTTTGCATGCATGTACTGCGACTAGCCTGCCATAAACAATTGCAAACCAACTGTATTTCAGCTGCTAAATCTTGCCATCACTTTAGTTTACATTTTTCATTTTAGGAACGTTCATTTGATTTTCTAATCATTAGTGGGGTGAAATCAATATTTGTTTTCAACTGCATCAAATGGAGCAGGATGGAAAATGTTTCTCGAACAAACAAATCTCTACTAGTGTATGTGCTTTTCTTTTGGGAAAGTCCATTTGTTCCAAAAAGTAAATGTTAAAAGCAGACAAATTGTTGAAATACTTTTGAGCAACATTCATCAAGTCCGTAGGGCCAGCTTAAGGATCTATCGCATAATCCAGCTAAACATTTAGGAAGGTATCAGAATTGTAAATGTTATACCAACTGTAAATGGCTGCAGTGATGAAATGTCTGAGTTTTATTGTTCTTCGGGAGACTACAGACCAGGGACATCTTACCACTGGAACTGAGAGAAAGTAGAAGAAATAAAGCCATCACTGCTCATCCTAGAGCTGGCCATAGACTGAAAGAATTTTATTTATTTATTTTTTTTATTTCAAGTACTTATATAGCGCCATCAATTTACGCAGCGCTTTACATATACAGTATATTGTACATTCACATCAGTCCTTGACCCTCAAGGGGTGTACAATCTGAAATCCCTTTCACAATCTAAAGTCCCTAACTTACATTCATACATACACATACTGGGGCCAATTTAGACAGGATCCAAAGAACCTACCAGCATGTCTTTGGAGTGTGGGAGGAAACCGGAGTACCCAGAGGAAACCCATGCAGGCACAGGGAGAACATGCAAACTCCAGGCAGGTGGAGCCATGGCTGGGACACGAGCCAGCGACCGTGGTACTGCTAGGAGGAAGTGCTAACCATTTAGCCACTGTGCTGCCCAATTTTGTCTGCTTTCTTTTAAATCCTTGGTTCCTTATTGGAAGAACGTCTTCCTTATATTAGTGGTCATTGGGAAAATGATCCCTTTGTATTGATGGTAATTGGGAGAAGGATCCCCTTATACGGTGGCTATTGGGAGAGGGACCCCCTTATATTGGTGGTTATTGAAAGAAGGACATCCTTATATTTGTGGTCATTGGGAAAAGGATCCCCTGATACGGTGGCCATTGGGAGAAAATTATCCCTTTATATTGATGGTAATTGAGAGAAGGGTTCCCTTATAATTGTAGTTATTGGGAGAAGGATCCCCTTATATTGGTGGCCATTGGGAGATGGATCCCCTGATATGGTAGCCATTGGCAGAAGGATTCCCTGATACGGTGGCCATTGGGAGAATGATCCCCTGATACGGTGGCCATTGGGAGAAGGATCCCCTGATACGGTGGCCATTGGGAGAAGGATCCCCTGATACGGTGGCCATTGGGAGAAGGATCCCCTGATACGGTGGCCATTGGGAGAAGGATCCCCTGATACGGTGGCCATTGGGAGAGGGACCCCCTATATTGGTGGTTATTGGAAGAAGGACCCCCTTATATTGGTGGTTATTGGAAGAAGGACATCCTTATATTAGTGGTCATTGGGAAAAGGATCCCTTTATATTGATGGTAATTGAGAGAAGGGTCCCCTTATAATTGTAGTTATTGCGAGAAGGATCCCCTTATAAGGTGACCATTGAGAGAGGGACTCCCTTATATTGGAGGTTATTGAAAGAAGGACATCCTTATATTTCTGATCATTGGGAAAAGGATCACTTTTGGGAGAAGGATCCCCTGATACGGTGGCCATTGGGAGAAGGATCTACTGATACGGTGGCCATTGGGAGAAGGATCCCTTATATTGGTGGCCATTGGGAGAGGGATCTCCTGATACGGTGGCCATTGGGAGAAGGATCCCCTGATACGGTGGCCATTGGGAGAAGGATCCCCTGATACGGTGGCCATTGGGAGAAGGATCCCCTGGGAGAAGGATCCCCTGATACGGTGGCCATTGGGAGAAGGATCCCCTGATACGGTGGCCATTGGGAGAAGGATCCCCTGATACGGTGGCCATTGGGAGAAGGATCCCCTGATACGGTGGCCATTGGGAGAAGGATCCCCTGATACGGTGGCCATTGGGAGAAGGATCCCCTGATACGGTGGCCATTGGGAGAAGGATCCCCTTATATTGGTGGCCATTGGGAGAAGGATCCCCTGATACGGTGGCCATTGGGAGAAGGATCCCCTTATATTGGTGGCCATTGGGAGAAGGATCCCCTGATACGGTGGCCATTGGGAGAAGGATCCCCTTATATTGGTGGCCATTGGGAGAGGGAACCCCTTATATTGGTGGTTATTGGAAGAAGGACATCCTTATATTAGTGGTCATTGGGAAAAGGATCCCTTTATATTGATGGCAGTTGGAAGAATGACCACCTTATATTGGTTATCAGTGGGTGAAGGGCCTCCTTCACTGGTGGTCAATCAGAAGATCCTTATTGAACAGAATATTCCTTATACTGGTGGTCAGTGGGAAGAAAGCCCCTTATACTGGTGGTCTGTGGAATTAATGCCCTTTACATTGGTGGTACGTGTGATGAATGCCACTATTCCTGTTTGCTCAAGGAGCCCTGGTTGTGAAAGGCTAATCTTTAGTAAAAGGTGGATTCTAAAGATACGTCTTTAAAGCAGAACTGAATATTTTTTATGGAATAATTTTGCAGGGTAAACATTCTGCAAGCTTTCAAACTAGCAAATCTGTGTCATCTTTTGCACTATCTGTATTAGATATTATCCCTATCTCATCTTGCCTAGTCTGGTCACCAGCATTAGTCTACATGTATACTGAAGCTCTCCTGGCTGCTGAAAAATGCTAAACACAATACCGCATCTACCCGCGTTTAGCTCTTGGGCATTTATTAATTTCAATGGCCAGAGTACTTGCCTTTGAAATCAAAAACCGCTCAAGTGCTAAATTTGGCACATTTAAACAAGTTTTTTTGCCAGAACATTCCTCTTCTGAATGCAATTCTTCTGCCCTATGTTCTGCTTCTATGTTTAACTGCCCCTAAATGCTGCTGCTTCTTCAACACATGCTTTTATTAAGTTGAGTTCAAGGGCTTTGGCAAAACAATGGTAAAAGCTCATAAACTCACATTTAGGAGCAGCAGTGTACATGAGGCCTTAGAGGGAGGTGATGGGGCGCTGATATGTCAGGGAAGCAATGTAATCATTCTCTTGTGGGAAGTTCTCCGTAAGAACTTTTTTTTTTTATATTCTTTGCCAGAAGCCCTGAGGGAAAATGGTGTTTCTATCCCCACCCTAATCCGTACACTGTTTTAAGTGGCTTTATGGTATTTGTTTTTAAAAATGCAGCTGCCAACAAATACGAAGAGAAAAAAAAGGACCGCCCCAACAGCGATGTGTTCTACCCTGTATGGAAACGTAGGAGCATAATGATATCCTGAGAGGGAGGTATGGAAAGCCTATGACCTCTAAAGCTGGCCATACACTGTGTGGATTTTGCTGCCTTGCTTCCACCCTTCCGCCTGATATCTTTTGTTTGAAAATCCAAGGAGCCCAGCAAAGAATAAAAAAACTTTGGCCAAACAGCAACTGAATCCATTCAGATGTAGCCACTGTTTGGGTATTCCCACTGCAGCTGTCTTTCCAAATACAATAGCCACAGCAGGAAATTTGTCTATCTGTACTGTATAGCGTAGATGGAAGAATCTATTTTGATGTTTTCATTCAGTCTGTAGGCAGTATATTACCAACCTTTGCCCTTCACACGGTCCACCTGCGTTTGTATTATTTAAAGTACAGCTTCAGGCTAAAAATCTTATTTTAAAAAGTTAGTCCCCATAAGGTTTGTGGCATTTTAAGCATTGCTGTCATTTCTTTACTATTTACACTTTAATT